AATGAATATTCCTGCAGTTATACCTGGAAAGGAGCCAATTTCTGAGATGAGTGTCTAAGTGAAAGGAAGATTTCTAACTCTTCACTGTCACCAGTTTGGGTGATTCCAATAGAATACACCCAGATTTCTATGGTGACTTGAACTATAATATTATTTTATGACATTTGCTACATAGGAGGTTCTCCCTGCCCAGTGCTCCAGGGGCCACTTTATCTACCAGCATTCGTCTTATAGGGAGACCTGAGGTTTGATTCTGTGATGTTTTGATCTTAAGGTTTTTAAGCAGTGCCAGTGTGTTACCAAGAATCTCCTACAAAGTGCTAAGAAACACAGGCTGATTGTGACGGTCTGAAACATCACAGCTCATTTAAGGGGACCATCAAGGCGCTTACTCTTTGATCCACCAGGAGTTTCAAATGGCAATTATCATTAATTCTTGGATTCCTTCGATCCTGATAGAAAATCAAGGCATCAGACACTACCATTTCCTGAACAGACAGCTATTAAAAGCACATTAATAATCTGTAGTGGGGTCAGCATATGCCTTTTAAAAAGACTTGCAGCTTGCTTCTCTGTGGCGAAGACACGGGACTTCTCCAACCTAATTACAAAGCAATCAAACAATTTAATTAATCTGGAAATCACTTTCGTAGCAGTAACTGTCTCTAAAATGAGGCCCCCTGTGTAGCGCTGTTAGGTAAAGAATGATTTTGATACGCTACTTATGTAGTAGCCATGCTAGTGCCCCATGGGGATTGTGAAGTTAATTACTTACCTAATGCCTGACCACTACCAAGGTTTACTCTACCAGGTCAGAAACAGCAGCAGCGAAACCAGCAGTCTATAAAGTGTCCTAGCTTCTAACATCCGAAAGCCAGCAAATCCCTGGGAGCTGCAGGATTTGAGTTATAAAGCACGTGCTGCACATATGGGCAGAGAATTAACTGGCACCAGTTTTCATTTGAGAGTCTCTCAGGTACGGCTTTGCAGATGGGTGGATGGATTCAGAGAGCAGTACTGTGAACAGTGAAGGTCATATATAGGACTCTGGTTTCAATCCACCTAGCTCTCTCATCGTGCAGAAGCTCAGTATATATGCATAGCCATAAATCCTCTCAGAGTGAAGAATATATAAGGTGCGCCTTATGATCAGGTTTGTTCAAAATGAACTAAGTATTTTGATCGCTGTATAACAAAATGGTGCTGCTAAGTCTTCAGAGACCCAGGAGAAATCAATTTTTATTTCAAAAAAAGCAAAGACTTCAAAGATTGACTTCTACCTATCTGATCTGCTAATCTTATCATTTCTCCCCAAGGAAAATCGAGGAATTTTCTGTAAGACAATACAGAAGTCTGCAGAATGCTCCTTTACTCTCTCAGTTATTACCATTACCCCACTTCTCTCTCTGAAGTCCCCATGAATGGGCCAGACATTCTGCCAGTCTATCCACACTAGGAGTATTCGTCACTATTAGGCTATACTCTTTCCTATCATTTATTCCCAATCCATCGCCCATTATACTTGGTTTTCTCACCGAAATATCCTTTCTGTTCGCTTTTCATATGCCAATCTAGCTATTCCTCTGTCCACTCATACCGGGTGGAATTATACCGGGTTAAAACCTCAGGCATCCATCTTTTGCCTACAGACATCTTTGAAGGCCTCCCACTAGTTAGTACCAATGAGCAGCTGACAGTTCAGTCGCTGGACTAGTGTGATTTCCCTTCATCCAGAGACCTGTGTGTTGCATTGCCCTTTGTGTTTGGGTTGTTTCCAGCCCCTTCTGAAGTCTCTTTCTAGTTCTCCTCTTATTTGAAGCTTGCTGAACTGCCCTCACATTGAGTATAGTCCCTGGTCCTGAAGGCGCCCTAGTCCACATGACTCTCTTTTTCTTATCTCCCACAACACTGAAGAGTCTTCATGATCATTTACGTACAGGTTGAGTATCCCTTACCTGTAAAGCTTGGAGCAGAAATTTCAGATTTTAGATTTTGGAATATTTGCACATATTATGTTGTTGGGAAAGTCATAATGTATTTTTCTATGTTTTCCTATGCAAAAATGTGCCATGACGTTCTCAACAACCCAGTACATGATGAGATATCTTGGGGATGTGACCCAAGTCAGAACACGAAATTCATTCTTGCTTCATACGTACCTTTTGCACATGGCTTGAAGGTAATGCTGTGCAGTGTTTTCATATTGCATCTGCCCCATGAGGGGAAGTGTGGAGTTGTCCACTTACAGTGCCATGCTGTGGGACTCAAAACATTTTGGGTTTTAGAACATTTCAGGTTTTCAGATTAAAGATGGTCAGCCTGTATGTGTGTATGTATTTGTATTTTAAATTAGGTTTTCAGCCTGACATGAAACATAAAGAAAGGTATTTAACTAATGAGATAATATAGATAATTCTATAGTCTTAAGGTTGAAGATGCGAGAACTCAGGTTTGGTTTTACAGGAGTATAGTTAGTAGATAGGAAGAAAACGCTCAATTGACAGATCTGGAAAAGCAACCCAAGATGTGAAGGAAAAAATCTGAAGATGGAAAAAGATGAATAATGTTTACTTATTTAAGAATAGAGTTAAATGAACTAGCTCAGTATCCATACCTGTCTCTTCAGCCTCAAGGTGATGGGTCACCATATATTACAGAATGTTACATGGCTCCCTGAGGGCTATCATTAAATCTCTGAAAGTGAAGAGTTTCTACCTCTTTAGGTTTTTAAAAACATTTAATATGCTTTTCTTTTAATTGCTCTAGTTAACTACATCAGAATATTCATAGATAGTGTTTTCTTTCTTTCTTTCTTTCTCTTTCTCTTTCTCTTTCTCTTTCTCTTTCTCTTTCTTCCTTTTTAAGGTTTTTATCATTAGGTCATGTGCACTAACTGGAGAGACAGAGAGATACAGTGAGAGGGAAAGTGAGACTCACACCACCTGGGATGAGGTGACCATGCCATAATCCCCTCTCCTCATTCTCCTCTTGGGATTTTGGGCATGCATGCACAGGCATCCGGCATGAGTTTCAGGCTGCTGAGTCTGAGACTGGAACTGTGGTTGGCCATGTGAGAGTTCAGTTCCTTAAGCACAACTCCACTTGCTGACCCTGATATAGTGATGTCTTTATGAAGAACACAGGGCTAAAAATTTTGTGCAGGTTTTATTGGTCTTATTATCTCATTCTGAGTGAATAAAATAGCAAGGCTTGTTCTCAAAATGTCTTGGCATCAAACAATCAGTTGTTTTGTTATTCCTAATTATTTACCGGTAGTTTGCTCTATATGGTGTGTGAGCAAAAGGAACTTTTTTTTTTCCCCAAATAAAACTCAAAATCTACATGAAGATTCCTGGTATTAGATTATTGTCTATAGGGAACAAAACCTTTTGGCCATTGTGAAATGATCAAGATCTTTCAAGGAATATGAAGAATAAACTATAAGCTAAATTGGAGGTGTGGGGGAAATGAAGTCTGTGGAAAGAAATGAAAAGAACTTAATTTAGCTGTGTATATAAATGGACAAAATGAATCTTGGATTACTGGATGGCAAAAGCAGAATCCATTTCTCTAGGGACCCAAGGAACAACAGATGCAAAGGCATGATAAATTTCATTGCAGCAGGGGGAAAATGCTTCTTGATTCTCTATCCATAAAAAAAATGGGCCTCTCAGCGCTTCCCAGTTAAATGGCTTTGATTGTGCTGTCTATCATAAAGTTAATGGCATCTGTTGAGGACATCACTATAAAATTTGCAACCTTAAGTTAATTGAAAATTTTCAGTAGAAATGTAGCCAGGCCAGAAGTCCTCAAGGTAACACTAAACTTACCCTCCTCAATGTGTTAGTCTGTTGATTTTGCAAACTGGTAATAAATTGTTTACTTTTATAGCCAGATACTGACTTGAACATGAAATGTTATATTCCTTACACCTAATTACGATTGTCACTTTCATTAAGAAACCAGTAATGTGGCAACTGTATCTTCCTGATTCATTTTTCAATTTTTTCAAGAATATACCGGTTGCTTTGCAGCTTTTCCTCATCTCTTTATTTAAAGCAGCTACAATCCCATGTGGTCCTCAGACAATTTTGCCAATCTAATTAAGTATGCAGAGAGAGCAGGGTGGTCTGGAGTGTCCTAAACTCGCCCTCACCAGCTGCCTGCCAAGCTTTCTCAATGATCGGCAGCAGGTTGAATCGTCTAATGGAGAAAGTAACAAGCCCCAGAGGAGCTGCCCTCCTTCCAGTGAGCAATCACAGCTCTACACTGCGTCTGAAGGACTTGGAGACTCGCTCTGTCAGCCGTTGGGGGCCTGTGGCTTTCAGAGGCTGCCTGGCCAGTCACAGTCCAGCTGCTTAGGGGCAGAGGGATTGCTGAAGAAAATATTGACAATGGGTGCTCCTGCTGGGCCACCCCTGGTGATGCTGAGATTGGTCAGGGCTGATTGTAGAGAAAGGTGAGAAGTGCTGAATTCTCCCCAGAATTCTACAACTAGATGGACACATCCACCTTTAAAGTATGTGCTTTGGAACATGAGGATTTATTTCTGAGGAGTCAGACTTTTATTCAGTCAACTATAAATGAAAATACTATGGCTGCCTCCCCCAAATAGAAAGCACCCCTGGATTGAAACCTGTGCTTACCCGTCCATCCTGCCCTTTGAAATGTTAGTATTTGAAGGTCACAACCAACACATGTATATACTTACTATTCTGTCAAACAGAAATGCTTCCTTTATTCAGTTTATGCCGGGCTGCTGCTGGGTGCTGCAGGTGAATGTGTTCATTCATGTGTCTTGCACATTCAGGAAGTTGTGCTGGAACCCAGGTAACCCCACTTCCCTTAAACTCCTGCCCCAGGTGAAACGAAAACATAGGGGAAAGAGCATTTTACAAAAATGTAAAGAAGCTTCTTACTAAGAAGATGATTTTCTGGGTATGTATAAAGATAGAAAACCAAAATCATGTTGTAAATTTTTCTCATCTTTCTCTCTACAGGAAACAGCCCTCAAGATAGTCCAAGAAATTTCTCTCCTAGTGCCTCAGCCCATTTTTCATTTGCACGGAGGTAAGGACCTCTTGGAACTGAAGTAATGAAGTGTCATGCAGAGCACGCAGAGAATCCCATTGTCTTGCCTGGTCTTCCTCCAGCCCCTGCCTTCTGCCTTGGGAGGCCCTGTTGATTATCCTAAAGCCAGCTCCTCTGGTGGAAGGAACCTTAGGGCTGCCCACAGAACTTAGTTATCACGTATGTGGTTTAACAGTCTAACAATGACTTTTGTCTAATGTTAAGAGTTATGTGTCCCTGTTCTGGTCCTGTACAAGATGAGAAGGTCCCCAGAAGGGTAGGAAATTGTCCTTTTCCATCTTTTTTTTCCATTCCTTGTTTAGGGCCTTAAACTGCTTTGTGTTCAACAAGTTTTCACTGGTTTATCTGTGTGACCTGATTTATCTTTGTCCTAGTAAAATTTTGTTGTTGTTGAAATATTTTGTATAAATAATGACTTTCTTGGGATCACAGGTATAAACTCTGAAATGTCCCTCTATCTGACAACATCAAACCAGCCATTTTATTATTCTTTCGAAAAAGCCTTATATAAGCTGTGGGGTGCTTTGTGTTTTCTCTTCCTGTCCTGCTGAGACTTGCACACCAAATGCCAGGATACGTACCTCATATCAAGGTCACTGAGTCCAGAGGTGGCATTGTGGCTGCCCAGAGGATACTGGGACATCTGAGCTACTACTGCACCTTTTGGTATGGGTCTTTTCCTGTGAGTTAGCCAAGTTGGAGGAGTCTACGCTGTTTTTCCATCCATATTCTTCACGTGGAATTAGTGCATTTCACTTCATCAGATTCAAATATTCACCTTTCTGAGCTCCTTCACGTGTCTCCTATACATATTTTGTTTTCTTCTGTCCAGAAAACATACAGAGGAGGGACCAGCAGTTAGTGTAACGGCTATGTCGCTGGACTCCCATGTAGTCAACCACGGTTTAAGTCCCAGACCTGGTAGCTTAAACTCACGCCAGGCGCGTGTGCACTGCATGCCCAAGATCCCGAGAGGAGAATGGAGGAGAAGGGATTGCAGCGTGGCCATCCCCCCGGGGGGGTGATTTCTCACTTTCTGTCTCTCTGTCTCTCTCTGTCTTTCTGGCGAGCACATGCACCCTATAGTAAAAAAAAAAAGCCTCTCAAAAACAAACAAACAAACAAACAAACAAAAAAACCCTTTACTGGGTTTCTAATTATTCAGAATAAATTTGGTTTATGGTCTGAATGTCCTAGATATTTGGTAAATTTTCCTCAGAGACCAAATCATATTCTGAAGTGAATTAAAGTAGAACTTGAGGTAAGCGGGTGGTGTAGTTGTTAAAGTGCTGGACTCCCACATGACCAATGACAGTTTGAATCCTAAATCTGGCATCTTGAAAATCACCATGTAGCAAGAAATTAGCCCCTGGAGGATGGAGAAGGGATTGCAGCATGGTTATCCCCCTGGGGAGTGATTTCTCACTTTCTCTCTGTGTGTCTCTCTGGCTAGCACACACGACCAATAGCAAAAATCTCTTTAAAAGAAAAAAAGTCAAATGTAATAAAAACTCGTAGGTAGGTTTAGAAGGTTTATTAAGTAGGTTTATATTTGTTCCTACATCCATCACAAAGCAAAACTCACAGTGTCCTCGCTACCACTTGTCAGTCTTACTGCGTTTATATTACGAAATCCAGAAAAAGGATATGTTTATAGCATTTTCTAAATTCTGAATAATTAAGATTCCATTATAAAACCTTACAACTCCCCCCCAAAGTTTTTTTTTCTCTCTTTATAGTCATTTCTCTCTTTTTTTTTTTTTTGGAGACGTTTTTGCTACAGGGTGCGTTCGCTTGCCAGAGAGACAGAGAGAGACAGAAAGCAAAGATCACCCCCCAGGGGGGATGGCCACGCCACAGTCCCTTCTCCTCCATTCTCCTCTCGGGGTCTTGGGCACGCACGCACATGCTCCTGGCGTGAGTTTAAGCCACCAGGTCTAGGACTTGAACCATGGTTGACTACATTTGAATTTAGCTACATAGCCATTACACTAACTGCTGGTCCCTTTAGTCATTTCTTATGATATGTGAAATGTTTATATGTAGCCCACCATGGACAGGATATAAAAATGATTAAGACATTATCTTCAAGGAACTTTTTGAGACCAACACTCTGATTTTCTCTCAATTTCAACTTGTATTTAGTTCTCATTTAAAGTGCTATAAAGAAAATGTGAAAATTAACTTGTCTAAGATAGCCAATATTTGTCCAGTGAATATTAATTCATGGTGCTACTATTCCAAGTGGAAAAAAAATCCTATAAAAATTGATAAGCAAATGCCCATCATAGTTTTAAAGCACATCTCTAAAAAAAGGGGGAGGGAATGCATTTAATTACTTTAAGTAATAAGAAAAATGCAAATCTCATTATAGAGTGCACTTAAACATGACAGAAATCACAGTCTCTTAATCCTGCTAGATTTATAATAATTAAGAAAATCTAGTAATAAAGTAGGTAACTAGAGGACCGATGAATCTGGGTTCTGTGCTATTAAAAAAAAATACACAAACCCCCAGGCATGTTAATTTTTGACAAATAAATCATAAACCGTGACAGGAGATTATCACAGACGACCTCAAGTTCATTTTGTATAAATTTCCAGATGGAACTCCCTCCACACTCTTCAAAAAGTATTAATTTAGATTAGGACATGAGTGATCATCGTTTTAAACTTCTATTTCAGTAAATAGAACCCTATCTTAGCTATGAAAATTGGTGTATTTTTATTTAACATCTGGGGTCTTTCTTTTCCATTTTAGATTGATTTTCATTCAGAAAATACAGAGATTTCACACAGGGGTCACCCCTTCCCTTCCACTTGGTGTGCATTTATGGGCTTTTAAGAAGTAATATGATTTTGAGGATCCCACATTTTATTTTTTGGTAAATTCAGTTCAATATAGGAAATATTTGAAATGTTGCCCTTTTTAGCTTGGGTAAAATGACTTTTCATCTTTTCTGATCTTCCTACATGGGATAATTAATACTGACCCATTAGATATCCTCTGTAATATAGTAGTCTAATAATATACTAGAAGGCAAGATGGCATGCAATTGGTTTCCATAGTTTTTAATGCAATTTTGAGAGATATTTTTCTCCTATAGGGCATGTGTGCTCACCAGAGAGAGAGAAACAGAAAGTGAGAAATCACTCCCTAAGGGGTATAGCCATGCCGCAATTCCTTCTTCTCAATTTTCCTCTTGGGCTTTTGAACACACACACACATGTGGCAGGTGTGAGTTTCAAGCTGCCAGGTCCAGGACTCGAACCACAGTCAATTACATGAGAGTCCAGTGACATAACCATTGCACCATCTGCTGGTCCCTTGAGTTAACTTTTTAATGTTAAGTTAAAGCAAAATAGCAGCATAATACAGTAGTTTTATTTAGGGCAAGGAAAAGGTTTCACATTGTTAATTGTTATACTTATTTACAATCTACTTGATTGTGCAGTTACTTAATATTTGCTTATTTATTTAGGTAGTAAGCCGAGAAAATAATAACTGCCTCGCCTTTCTCAGAAGTTGTAGAGTTTTAATGATAATAAATTGCTTTCACTTTCATTGGAAATACAGAGCACTTGAATACATGCCTCGGGTCTCTCCTCGTAGCCTAGTTATCATTCATCAGGTTAAATCCCAGAATATATTTCCACAGGCAAATGGCTAGAACAGGCTTGCCTGCTACGTTCAGGTCACCAGACACTTGTAACCGCCCATTTATTCTTTCAGAAGTCCTTCTGGAAAGGATGTTAGTGGGCTACATAGTTCAACTTGTTCCAAGATAAACTAGAATACACAGTGTATCCCCTAGGTGACTGTAACAATGAAATAAATCTGCTTGTTCTTTATACAGTTTATACAGCCAGGTTGATACTGGAACTTTTCATTCTTTCTTTGTTGTACACAGTATTAATCTAAATTGTGAGTAGTCTCAAAATGATTTTTTTTTTTGTCAGTCTCTGTGTCCTATGTTCCCATCAGATGATTTTCGCTTTTTGCTTTTTCACTTAATGTAACATTGCGATTACCACCCACAAGGAAGAGACTCTTTTCAGAAAGCCTTGTTGCTTTGGCAAGAGTATAGTCTTATCTTCAGATGACATTTTATTGTAACTACTGCAAAGAAAAGACAACATTGTTAGTAGGATCCAAATTGCTCTCCTGTGATAGCTTTCTTGGAAAAAAGGGCTTGCTCTCTCTTAAGTACTGTATGTTGCATATATAGTAACTTCTGATGTGCGGTTGTCATGGTAATGAAAATGCAATGGTCTTCTGTGCTCCATTTGAGTAAATAGGCACGGACGACTTAGGGAACTTTATGAGACGTAAATTATTTCTGGTCCGCGGCTGTACAGGGTACTGAGCACATTCTTGTTTAAACATCTTTCTAGTTGTGTGTTTTCCAGAGTAAGCAAATGTAATTTATGCTTCAGAACTAATAAGAACATGTCTCCTCCTGGAATTGTTCATTCATCTGAAATATGTTCACTGATACCTGAGGGAAAGGGGAGTTAATGAATCACAAAACAAAATCATGGTGGGGGAAATTGTGTCCCTCACTCTTTCTTTGACTAGTTTCTGATAATTGCTATTAAATGGACTGAATAATTCTTTTAAAAATCATATCCTCTTCTTACTTTTTCGAATTGGAGATGTTTAAAATGCAAAGTGTGAGAATGGGTTTTTAGCTCTAGGAAGTACCCCCAAATAAAATAGGGTCAAATTATTTTGTGTTCATTTCATAAATAGACATTTTTCTAAGCTTGTTGTAATTATATTCTTATTGTTAACCTTTTCAATTGTTTCAAAATATTTTAAGAGAATTATTACTTAGCCCCCCCCTCTTTTTATCTTGTATATTTACATACATCTTATTTTGCTTTTTTTTTTTAACACACTTGATTCAATTGTACTCTACTCATGGTACAGAAATGACAGGTAAATTTTACTAAAATCTTAACATTGTAATATTTATGTGATTTGTCCACTCGAATTTCTCCATTTTGTCTTTATGGACCATTCACATTTATTGAAGGTATCATCCATGGTAACTTATATTTTTCCTCGCATACAAATTTAGACTAAAATGTCTGTTGTTGTTTTTTTTTTCATGAAAGTCTATGACATTTCTCAAAATCAAGTCTGATGCTGTTTAATTCTGTGACTTCAGCTTATTGTGACTGTGTCTCTGGTGAATTTTGTCCACTCTCCTCTCTCACCTGGTTAATTAGTGTCATCATGGATTACAAAAGTCCACGTATGCTACTGCATCCAAGAATGCAGTATTGCACTCAGTGTCTTCTGTTTTGCCCTTGACAAACTTTGCATGTATTTGCTTTCACAACATTAAATGATTTGTTAAGATGCAACGTTACTTGAAATTGCTACTAAAGTAATGGCCCTAGAATGCCAGAGATTTCAGGAAAGTTGCTTTTTATACCACCTTGCCTTAGCTGCAGCATTGCCTGGAATACTGCATTAACTCATCTGGCACCTTTTGAATGACCCTCATTCATTACCAGAGTCCAACTCAGAAACTACCCAGCCTGTCACCATTTGAAGATTAAAACTGGTGTCTTCGCCACATCCGGCAGCTTTGGCTCTAAGAGCAGGGCAGACAGCTTGAGTCTTTGCGTTAAGTTCTGTAACTGGGGGAGACATTTTTCATTCTGCCCCAGCTGTTACTGGCCAAGGTAGGGCTGGCTGCATGCTCAAAACCTCTGCAAGTGGCTTTTGCTGCAACCCTTTATGAAGCCAGGTCATGTCAGAAGGCAGTAACTATTAAGAGATTCTGAGCATAAGGTCAGTCACTTTCTTAATACAGAAGTTATTTGCCACTTAAAGCTTGAGCCAGCTGTGAACCCACTGATCCTTCTTCGCTAGGTGTGATGAGCAGAACTGTCCCCTTGGAGATAATAAGCAGAAAGTGTTTAGGGTACAATGACTGTCCCGACGTGCTCTGTTACGTGCTAGAATTCAGGCTCCTTTAAAGACCGTTGATCAGGTTCTCCATTTCCAGATGAGAGTGCTTTTCCTCCTCCCTTGCTGTTTTGATTCATTTGAATCTGCTGAGTCTGACCATCGTAATTATCCCTGGTATTCATTTTGTCAAAGTGTATTAGTGAGAGATCAATACTATGGATCAACCCATTCACTTTCTACTTGTTTGGGTGTATTGATTCAGTTTAAATAAAAGTCAACCTGCTGTATAATGTTTGTTTACCCTGACCCTTGCTGAATATTTCCCCATCCTCACAGAGTATGTTTGTGTCATTTGTTTGACTAAAAATACTTGGTTTCCCTGGGCTTCCAGTGTAACAGTACTCAAGCGCTGGCCTAAGCTAAACTCTCTTTCTCGATAGGACTGATGGACGCCGCTGGTCCTTGGCTTCTCTCCCCTCCTCTGGCTATGGGACGAACACGCCCAGTTCCACGGTATCCGTAAGTGTCTGAGTGTGCTTGTTCTCTCTCTCTCTCTCTCTCTCTCTCCCTCTCTCTCTCTCTCTCTGCCACCCCCTCCACACCACAGAGCTATTACACAGCAGTATATTCTCTGAGTGTTTTCTGGTAGGAAGGAGAAGATCAGTTCTGAGTGTCTGCCACTCTGAATAGGTTCCACATCAAGTGATGGCCTTAGAAACATAAAAAGGACATTCTTTTGCCGTGAGCTTTTGAATGGTGGCGTGTAAATAAGTCTCTACACCATTGGTTTAGTTTGGGGGAGAATACACAATCTGGTTTTCTTGCTTTGGTTCCATGCCAGTGATACTGGTCCTGAAAATACCATTACACTTTGATGGACTGGGTCTTTTTTCTTGTGTGCCTTATATAGAGGTGGTTTTGTTTGTGTTTTTCTGGTTTTGTGTTGATTTTTATCTCCTTTAAAGGGGGGAAAAAACAGTAAGCCTTAAATTTGTGTCTTCTAGGTAAGAACTTTGTTTTAAGGAGAGATTAAAATTAGAGTTAAGTTAGAAAGGTGAAGATAAATAAAGAGACAAGATAGAGGGAACCAGCAGTTAGCGTAATGGCTATGTCGCTGGACTCCCACGTAGTCGACCGCAGTTCGCGTCCTTGACCAGGTGGCTTAAAACTCACGCCAGGCGCGTGTGCATGCGTATCCAAGATCCCGAGAGGAGAATGGAGGAGAAGGGATTGTGGCGTGACCATCCCCCCTGGGGGGTGATTTCTCGCTTTCTGTCTCTCTGCTCTCTGTCTGTCTGGTGAGTGCATGCGCCCTATAGCGAAAAACTCTAAAAAAAAAAAAAAAAAAAAAAGACAAGATAGAATTTTGAAGAATAAGGATACTTTTGCCCTAAACTATAACGTTTTAACAAAAGGCCAAGCAATTATTAGAAACAGTTCAGTAGGTTAGGTATCTGCTTTCTCAGTTTAAATTAGCGATGTCGTGGGCTGTCTGTGTCTGCCGGGCCCAGCATATCGAATGTGCTCAGTAAGAACTTGATGCGGCGGTCTGAGTACTCTCATAGTGCTAGGAATGTGGTCCTATGACTCTAGAGCCCCTTCTGACAAGTGAGTAGTCTTCCCCACCTTGTCAAAATTGTTGGTTTATTGCTTAGAGATATTCATCTAGTGTATTTTTCACAACCTGTGTTTAGCACTGTGTTAATCATATATTCTTAGCCACTTCGTAACACTTGAATTTATAAGAAACTACAGCTAAATCATCAAATTCTAACTACTTATCCCTACTGTCTCATATTAAGTGTTTCTAGAATTCTAAGTGCAGTCAATGTGAGTTTTTCAGAGCACCTTTACAATCAAATTATTAAAATACACTGGATTATTTTTACCAGACCCATCAAGAAGTCATTCGTTTTCCTGTCATCCCATTTCGTTGTAGTGTGTGAGTTCTCTGTCTATGTAGATCCTTTCTGGAAAACATGCTAATGACCTGGAGTAGTTTCAGTGGCACACTGGCCTCACATCAGTGAAAGATGCCTGAGAACTCTGAACAGCATCAGTGGATAAAGTCGTCGCTAAGCCGTCATTAGTTATTAAGGCGGTAATCATTATTAGTTATTAGCCCATATTTTAGATGTGGAAAATATGGAAAATTACAGTATGAACATAAATATCAAAATGTCTTACCAAAAAGAAAAGAAAGAGTAATTTAAAAAGGTTTTTTTAAGTAGTGTTATTCTTCCCCACATCCTTGGGCATTCTTGATTAGAACCAAATCATGAATAAACAGAATATTTTACTCTTTGTCCTGTAGCTTTTCTGATACATATTCTCTCTCTCTCTCTCTCTCTTTTTTTTTTATTTAGACTTTTGTTGTAAGGTGTGTGCTCTCACTGGAGAGAGACAGAGAAAGAGAGAGAGAGAAATCAACCCTCAGGGAGGATGGCCACACTCCAGTCCCTGCTCCTTCATGTTCCTTTTGGAATTTTGGGCATGCACACACATGTGCCCAGCATTTTTCAAGCTGCCAACTTCGAGACTCAAACCCCGGAGTTGGCTATGTGGAAACCAGCATCTTAACCACCATGTTACCTTCTGACCCCACATTCTTTTTGCCCCCCCCCATTTATTTAATTTTAATTTTATTTGTTATTGTTTTGTTTTTGATTTTTAAAATTTTGAGGAAAGAGAGAAAGAGAAAGCGAGAGAGTAAGCTGCCAGGTATGGGACTTGATCCACAGTCAACCATGTGGGAGTCCAACACCTTAACCACCGTGCCACTTGCTGGCCCCACCAAATTCTCTTTTAATCTTCCCTATAACTTAAATTTAAATTCGTGTCTCTTCACTTCATATTATTTCTTTTGCATTGCCTTCAGTCAAGTTTTATTATGGTTTGGATACAGGAATCTCTCTTTCACAAGAAAAAGAGCACAGGATACAGGATCTTTCTTCTTTCCAGCTCTTAATAGTAAACTATACTCCATTTTTTTTTTTAAAGATTTTTTTTGCCATAGGGTGTTTATGCTCAAGATAGAGACAGAGGGAGGGAATCACCACCCTGGGGAAATGGCCTTGAAATCCTTCTCCTCCACTCTCCTCCTGGGACTTTGAACACACATGCCATGTTCCCGGTATCAGTCTCAAGCTACCAGGCCCGGGACTCTAACCACAGTCAGCCTTGTGGGAATCTAGCACCTGGATGACCACACCAAATGCTGGCCCCAATGATACACCACTTTTTTTTTTAAAGTTATTTTTATTTATACATTCAATTGCTATACGTCATTTAGATTGTAAAGAGATACACCCCTTTTTAAGGTGACTGTAAAGGAAGGGTTAGCAACAAGGCATTGGACCACGTTTGGTACAAATAATTTTAAAAATGTATTTTTACAAAAAAATATATTTTTACAAATGCTAAACATTAGTCTAACTACAGTCAGTCCTCTGTATCTGTGGGCTCCATAACTGCAGATTCACCATCCACAAATAGAAAATGTCTCTGTCTCTCTCCAGTGAATGTGTGTACCCTAAGGCAAAAACCTGAACGGTGAAAACCTAAATAGTAATAATAACACAATAAAAATAATACAAATGAGAAAACAACACAGTGTAACAACTATTCATATTTACATAGCATTTGCATTGTGTTAGGTGTTTTAAATATTCTAGAGATGATTTAACGTCGTTTATGGGAAGATGTGGGTAGGTTACACGCAGAGGCTGAGAATCTATTTATCAACTCTTTTATTTTATCAATAACACAAAAAGTAGTCTAAATCCTGATTCCTTTGCTCTTTATATGAAATATAAATGGCATTCTTAATACAGATCTTGTCATGAATAAACTTGACTCGGGGATCAGTCATAGTGGGATCATTACTGTCTCTAACTTATGTATGTGCTATGGCAGACGGCCCCTGAAACTTCATTTTTTGTTGGTTTGTTTTAGTCACACATACATATTCAGTTTTCTAACAGCTTTTCTCCTAAGTGATCATTTTATCAAAGAAGGTGGTGTCGTAACTGTTGATCTCAATATTCTCGATTTTTCTTTGAAAATGGAATTGTAGCTTATAACATCGCAACTTTACATTTTGCCAAGAAATGAGGAACTAGTCCGTTCTTGGACTGCAGATACTGGAGTGCAAAAGTTCAGTCATCTTTTCTCCTTATTGGCTGTTGACCAAATTAATGAGTGGAAGTAGGAAAGTTACTTCGCACTTTCCTCAGTTTCTTTGTGTTCTTATTCTTTAAACATTAGAGCAAAGACTGCAGAACTGCTCAGTAGGGGTGGTTTTTTTCTTTTCTAAGTGTAATCCAAATTACTCTTGGATTCCCATTTCCCTGGGTGAACCGTTAATCATTTAGGAATCAGGAATGCTTTTTAGGTTTTTTAAAAATAAAAATATAGAGCATGCACAAATACTATTATAAGTACTTTGAAAATATAGTTTAAATTGTATATATAATTGTTTCTTTAGCAGCATGTCAGAACTGCTTATGCCAAAATATAAACAGTTTATATCTTTGTCCTTTGGGTATCATGGGAACAACCAAACTGCCAAGTGTTAAAAATACTATATTCTGGAATTGGAAAGATTTGGTCATATGATGTTAATTAGACCTCCTAGAAAATATTTAGTATTAAAACTAACTTCTTTTAATGTCACATTTTGTAGTTCAAATTAATTTGTGAAATTTATTAAAAATAATATTCAGATTGTAATTTTTAATCCTGAAATAAATAATGTAAAATTATAGCAGTAGCCAAACAGTCCTGCATGCATTTCTGACCAGATAAATTATTGCTTCTGAGTGAAAGAATAGAAATAAGAATATAAATACCCATATCAATACCCATAAATATGAGATTTACCATAAAATGATCTTCCCCTTGGTTGTTTTTTGTTTGTTTGTATTTTTAAAGAGAGATTTTTGCTATAGGGCACATGCACTCACCAGAGAGACAGAAAGTGATAAATCACCCCTCCAGAGAGAATGGGCATGCCTTAATCCCTTCTCCTCCATTCTCTCGGGATTTGGAACACACACACACACACACACACACAAACACACACACACACACACACACACACACACACACACACACATATGCACCTGGCATAAGTATGAGTTTTAAGCCACTGGGTCCGGGATTCGAACAGTGGGCAACTACATGGGAGTCCAGCAATGTAACCATTACACCATCTGCTGGACCCAAATTGTCTTGCTTTTAATAAATACCAAGTAGAGATTTATGTATGCACATGAATATTATTCTTTGCAAAATGATTATCTTGAAAGACTAAATGTTTATTTGAATGCTATCATATTCAGAACATGTTTTTGGAACACTTATTGCATGATTTTTTATGTTTATTTTTGTGCTTTCCAAGTAGATTTGATTTGTGGTATTGTCAAAAGTCATATGAAAACTATTGGGTTGTCAGAAAAGTCATGGCATGTTTTTTTTACTGTTTTTCTATGCAAAGATGCATCGTAACTTTTCCAACAACCCAACAGTTGCTTATCAGAATGACAGATGTCACGCTTAACGAACATGCTAAAAATATGAAATAATGATACCCAATTTATTGGAAAACTCTAAGCTAATTCTTTATATTCTTCTACAAGTTTGACCAATAGTAGTATCTTTTCAAGAACCCTGTGAGGTCTTGGTTATGGCAGTTCCAGCCCTCTGTCATCCAAGCTCTCCTCTGAGTTGCCTGTCTCTGCTTAAACTGAAGTTTGTACTTCTCTGTGTTCCAGCATGCTCAATATGGGGGCTCCATGTAGTATCTTTTGAATTACCCCCAGGGCATGGTGCTGGCCTACAATGGTTCCCAGTGCCCTGGGCTCATCCTAGTGTCACTTGGGGTTGCCAGTTTCCATTTACACCTTGCTTGTTCCAGCAGAGATGAAAAAGGACCTTTCCTCAGAGAAGCACCCCGCCTCCTAGTTTATTTAGTGCAGTGAAGTTATAACCTTCACTTGTATTCTCTGTCATGAAATGTGGGCCACATTGCTTAGGGAGTTACCTACTTCTGTGTATGATGAAACTGCAACATTTCCCTTAGATTTAACAGATGTTAATATTTTGTTACATTTGCTGCAGTTACTTTTTAAAAGTTTATTTTTATATTTTGTTTCATAAAACATGGACCAACCCTTGGCATGGTGGTTAAGGCTGTTAGATCCTAAATGGCTGGCCACATGTTTGAGTCCCTAACACGGAGGCTTGAGAAATACACCAGGCACGTATATCCTCGAAAGGAGGAGGAAACCGAAGTGAAAGGATTACGTTGTGACCATGACCTTAGTGGGTACTGGGATACCTTCTCACTTCCCCTCCACCCTCCCCGTATACCCCACATTGAGCACCATCTGTCAAAATTTAAGAGTAATTGGAGCCAGCAGGTGGTGTGGTGGTTAAGGCACCACCACATGGCTAACTATGGTTGGAATCCAGGACCTGGCCACTTGCTTTCTCACTTTCCCTCCCTCTGTCTCTCTCTCTGGTGAGCACACATGCTTTATAGTAAATTTACAAATAATAAGTAAAATTAAAATAAAATCTTAATTTTTAGAAAATAAATGAGTAAATAAAAGATTACAGATACCACTGAAATTCCTCTCTACCCAATCAATCCCTTTCTCCTTCCTTATAGGAACCCTTCTGTGAAGTTACTTGGTATTGTTCCCACACAAGGGCAGATATATGATAGCTTATGTAAAACTCTTGGGCCTTTGGTTTGGAATTAATTTTCACTTTTAGAAAGGTAACATGATCCCTGTACTGTACCTAACATCCTAGCAACAACTAGATCACCAGTTTATAATCAAATATGTTAGTATTTCTACAGCAACCTACATCAGACTTGCACACTAAGTGGATTAAACAAATATTTTAAATAACTTCCCTTCAATTCTGTTGATATTTTGCCACCAAAAGCTATTACTGTGAATTTATGAACAAATTTCTGGGTTTGTGAGTTTTATAATCTTGGATATAGAATTATGGGTATCGATTTACCTTTGAGACATATCTATAGATTCTTAATTCTGTTTTTCTATTTGCTAATTTCCTTACCTTTGCTTTTATTACCACTGCTTCTTTCATGCTTGCATTCATTTTATTATTTTTTTCATGATTTAGTCAATTGACTTAGTTCATGTGTTTTATTTCTTTTTCTATAGTGAAAGTATTTAAGTTTGTGTGCCTATACTTTCTCAATAGAGCTTTGGTTTATGTCATTATTCTTTCTGGTAGTGTTCTCATTTGTATGGTTTATAAAGCAATCTCATTACATGATAAAAATCCTCCTTTGTCTTAACATATATTTATTAAGGTATTTAATAATTCCTAGTCAAAGGGATTTTTTAATCTTTAGTTATTAATTTCTGGTGTTACTGTATTTACAAAGGTTGCTCTTAATGCAAAGATATGTTTTTTGGGGACCAACCAGAAGATGGCATAATGGTTATGTCACTAGACTCCCACATGATTGACGGTGGTTTGAATCCTGGACCTGACGGTTTCAAAATCATGTTTTGAGCTCATGTGTGTGCTTGCCCAAAATCGCAAGAGGAGGCTGGAGGAGAAGGGATTGTGGTGTGGCCATCCCCTTTGGGGCAATTTCTCTTTCTGTCTCTCTGGCAAGCACACACACCCTATAGAAAAAAAAAATCTGTCTTAAAAAAAAGATAGGTTTTTAAAAATTATATAGTAAAAGGCCTACCAGAACTGGCATTTTGAAATGGTAGTATCTTTCAAAATATGCTTAGTATAACTATTTTTCTACATATGCAAAACTTTCTCAGTCTCTTATATTGAAATTGCTTCCAGAGTTTGCGCCACCAAAAATGAAAACAACAAAAAGTTTCTTTGTCTGATGTGTCTCAAATTGACTAAAAGCCGTGTCATTATCTGTTTACCCTTTCTATCTCACCTTGTTCCCGGTGTTGGGAAATGATTTTCACAAAGCATATTTGCAGGCAGGGATGAAAATTTCATTATCAGTGAAGTCATTGTTTAAAGTGATAATCTTAGCTTAAAAAAAAGAGAGAGAGTGGGACCAGCAGTTGGCATAATGGCTATGTTGCTGGACTCCCATGTAGGTGACTGCAGTTCGAGTCCTGGACTCAGTGGCTTAAACTCACGCCAGAGGCGTGTGCATGCATGCCCAAGATCCTAAGAGGAGAATGGAAGAAAAGGGATTATAGTGTGACCAACCCCCCCGGGGGGGGGATTTCTCACTTTCTGTCTCTCTCTGTCTTTCTGGCAAGTGCACATGCCCTATAGCAAAGCCTCTCTTAAAAAAAAAAAAGAGAGAGAGAGAGAGAGAGAGAGAGAAAGAAAGAAAGAAAGGACAAAAATTATAATTCCAAATTTTAAAACAATGGCATTTTAGAGTAAAGTGCTTTCTTCACTCTCCCCTTTTCTCACATATTGATAGTGATTGCTTCAGGGGACAGCATGCATTACTAAGGTTTTATTGCCTTATTTATAATGTCACATCATATCATTTGCTTTATATTACTTATCTGAGAGTACTAGCATGGGGGCAGCAGTCGGTGTGAGGGTCCCACGCTCAGGTAAAAACGAATCCTGACGCAGTGCACCCATATCGTTCTAGTGGTCACTTTCTTGCTTTGGCTTGGATGGGGGTTCTGTCCATTTTTCAGAGCCAGGTTTTCTCTTGATAGGAAACTGTCTTTTGGGAGATTGTAGACAAATGAGATGAAATATGGATGACATTTTGACCTCTTCGAACATGTAGGCAATAGTTATTGTAATTAGACTGTGAAAAGGAAGCCCTGAGACAGTGGTATCACCCAAGTTCAGCAGTTTGAGCTCTCCTTCGTTTGAAGAATTTCTCTTTGAAATAATCTCATAACCTCCTTTTGGTTTGTTTCAGTCATCCTATTCCTCCCAGGAGAAGTTACATCAGTTACCATACCAACCAACACCAGATGAACTGCACTTCTTATCGAAACATTTTTGTACCACCGAAAGCATCGCCGCCGAGAACAGATGCAGGAACACGCCCATGCGCCCCCGTTCTCGAAGTCTGAGGTGTGTGGACCTGATTGAAAGCAGTTGCTTAGTTGGGTTATCTGGTCTCAGCCGTTTTCAGTAAAGACTTTTGGTTCTTTCATTCTTGGAAATGTTCATTGATTTGTGAACTAGTATAATTATCGTGTGATTTTCCGATCTACACATGATAATGTTCATTACCATCGAAAGGCATATTATTATTTTTCTTTTATTCAATTCTCACAATTTACTAATTGCTGCAATAGCAGTAATCATGATGGCCTTAGGGGACAACCTGTGAAAAAATTGTAGCTATAGGAAATTTCAAAGCAATCTAATTATGGCACAAAAGCAGTTAATATGATGTTAAGAGAGGGAGGCTTGGTTGAAAAGTAAGACAGAAGGATTTTTTCCAGATTCCTTTTTATACAAATAGAAAGCGATTTTTAAATGCTTTCTTCCCATCCAAAGTCTACCACGATTAGGAACAAATGTTTAGGAGTTTGTGTCACCTGAGCTTTGTGGATGCAAAGTGTAGCCCACTTGATGTTGAGTAAGGCAGTATTATTTTGACCTTGTTTCAAATATTATGTATTACAGTTTGTGTCTTCAGGAAGCAAACTGTAAAATCAAGGTTTGTGTTCAGGATGTTTATAAGGGAGTCTTTTGGGATCCATACCTGTGTAGGAGAAGGGAAAGCAGGACCTTCAGAGAGGGCAGTCTAGCTACAGTGCTGACCCAGCAGCCTCTGCACACTCCTCAGGGAGCTCCAAGGATGGTACAACTCATCCGGTTGTCTCTTTGGCCAACTGGCCCTCCCTTTATCTCCCCACCTCAGCCACTGGTTCCCTCACTGGTGTGTTACCCTGAGAAGGACATGGCCATGGACAGTGTGATTCTGTAGCTGAGACCATCCCTGAAGGGAGTGACAACTGAAGACGTCTGCTAATAGCAGTCCCAGCAGCTGGGGCATTAGGGTCTTCTTTGAAAGGAGCAGTCAGGGCAGTGCCTCTCCTTGTCCACTACTATATGAGATCTTGATATTGAAGGATCAGTGCACTCTGACATATTGAGGTTTTATTATTTTAAAAATAGCTAGTTACAGGACTAGCAGTTGGCGTAACGGCTATGTCGCTGGATCCCATGTAGTCGACCGCGGTTCAAGTCCCAGACCTGGTGGCTTAAACTCATGCTGGGCATGTGTGTGTGCATGCCTAAGATCCTGAGAGGAGAATGGAGAAAGAATTGTGGTGTGGCCATCCCCCCTGGGGGGTGATTTCTCGCTTTCTGTCTTTCCGGCTAGTGCATGCACCATATAGCAAAAACCTCTCTAAATAAATAAATAAATAAATAAATAGTTACAGAGACTGGCAGGTGTCATGGTGGTTAAGGTGCTAGACTCCCACATGGTGGACCATGATTCGAGTCCCAGACCTGACGGCTTTCTCACTCTTCCTCTCTCTCTCTTTCTCTTTCTGGTCAAATTAAAAATAATATAATTAATTAATTAATTAAATTAAAGCTATTCTAAAAATAGCTAGTTAAATACCCAGTTGAATATCAATGTTTCTAAGAAGGGTTTTCCCTTTGTACCTTTGTTTTTCATTTGGTTTCATAAACTAGTACTAAGTACAGTAGAGTCACACTGCATAATTGTAGGATACATTCCCTTACTTTGAGATCTGGGGTAAAAGGGAAATTTTACTCCTTTATCTGGAGGCCTGTGTTTTACTACCAGGGTATCATTTTTTTTGTTGTTTTATTAAAGGAATTGGTAGGACGTTTAGTACAAACTGCATCTACCTGGGAATATAAACGCTCTACCACTAGACATCCACCACTAGGAAGGAACAGAAAGCTATTATTGAACTCAAGAAAGAAGGACACATACCAGTTGTATTCCTCTGTTTCCTATTGTACATAATGCCTACCTCAGCATCCCCAATAAATGTTTGCTAGGCTGGAAAATGGATTTCAATTATGACACCTGTGCCGGGGAAGACTCTCAGACCTCTTCCGTGGTAGGTGGCAGAGCGCAGGTGTATGATAAAAGTGTGAAATGATACTGTTAAATGTGTCCTAGATGTTGCTGTTTGTAGCTACCCTCGTTTGCTTTATATTACAATTGTTCGTTAGTTTCCAGGAGTACACACACTCATACTACAGGCAGATATAAGTATGTTATGTTTTTATCTTCAATTTAAAAATGTTTTCTGAGCTAGTATTGTATTCCAAGTATAATTATTTTGTGGCATTCCCCTTCTCGTGCTTTCTCTTTTTAAATCTATCCACAGTGCCTCTGCATCTGTGGGTATGTGTGTGTACATGTGTACTAATGACCGATTTTGTAGTTTATTATCTAATACACTTTTCTTACAAAGGTTGCGTAGTACTTTTGATGCAACTGGCTGTTTATAAATAAAAAGCTTATTTTCATTTCATGCTGTGGCAAGTTTAAAAGGCTAATTTGCTTTGCTTGCAGCCCTGGACGTTCTCCCGCCTGCTGTGACCATGAAATAATTATGATGAACCATGTCTACAAAGAAAGGTTCCCAAAGGTAATGAATTGAATTTAAGATGCTTAGCATCGAAACGCACAGGCAGCATAGGTTCGGAGTCTGTAAGGTAGTTTTGTTATAGCAGGTAAGAGTCCAATCTCGTAATGACATAAAGCAGCACCAGAGCCTTCTTAGGAAAAGAAAATAACTTTAAAAATTGAAGCTAACAACTGCTGAGAACTGGCCACTTTCTCTGTGTGCTGAACTACCATGAAAGTGAATCCTGCTGGTCTTGCACTCCACTGGGAGAAGAGTGTGGGCAGGGTCTGCCAGACCTGTGTGGCCCACACACCCATACCCATGTTCTGGGCCTGCTGCCGTGTCATTAAACAGAGACCATTTTTCTCCCTCAAAAGCCTTTGACTGGTGTATCATGAAAGTTTCCCCTTTTTTTATACCTCATTTTTCTTTTCTATGATTTCCTATCTCTTTAGCCATTGTATTTCTAATTTTTTTTATTTTTTAGAGAGAGATTTTTGCTATAGGGTATGTGTACTCACTGGAGAGACAGAGAGACAGAAAGCAAGAAATTACCCCCCACAGGGGAGGACCCCTTCTCCACCATTCTCCTCTTAGGATCTTGAGCACATACGCACATGTGCCCGGCAGGACATTAAGCTGCCAGGTCCAGGAGTTGAACTGTAGTCGACTATGTGGGAGTCCTGCGGCATAGCCATTACTCCATCTGCTGACTCCAAGCTGTTGTATGTCTAACTCTATTAATTTAGAAATGAAAGTACAGTTTTGGTGTCTCCAGTTAGACTGATAAGAGGAATTTGAGTTGAGCCTGAGAGCACACCCTGGCGGCCAGAAACTGTTCTCCGTTGGCCCCACTCTCCACACATCATTCCCACATCCTTCCCAGCAGAGTTGCCATGCATCTGGGAGAAGGCATCCTCTCCATGGTGTTCCTGGTCCTCCCCTACTCCCTTTGTTGCCCAAGGGAAGAGAACAAAGGGAAATCTTCTGTTCCTTAAATCAGGGATAGAGTGCCTATTATTTGTAATGAACACAACATTGATGTCATTGATTAGAATGGTCTCAGTTATTTATCACATGTCACTTGCTCACCAGGGAAACAGATACTGACTAGACAGAGTGAATATGGGTTAGGATTTTAGAAAAAAAGCAGGAAGAAGAACTCCTCTCCCTGCATATATAATTGTACTAGCAAGGAATATTGATTAGGCAATAGGCGATCACAGAGAAGGAAATTAAAGTTGGAAAGAAAGTTTTAGATTTTTTTTTTTCCACAGGAGAACTCCGCTTGGCTTTTTACATAGGATGGTGGAGCTTGTTGAGAAAATGAAAAAAGATAATATAAGATGTGCACCTGGTGCATTCAAACCTAGCCAAGAAAACAAACTTCTGGCTCACCCTGTGGAACATTCGCAACAGAACCAATTTTTAAATAAATAAAAACATAAAGAAATATCGGAAATTTTTGACAATCCTTCTGAAAGAGCCCAGGAGCTAAAATGAAAATGATTCACAAATATTGAGTTGTTTGAAGCTTACACGGATTGTTTTGCGTTAGCTAGGTCACAGGAAAAAGGGGTTTATCATCCTGAAATGTTTATTTTGAATTGTATACATCAAATCTGTATTCCACAGGGTAAGGCTACTTATTTTCCTAAAAAAAAAATGATTGAACTATTTTCTTAGAGTAGTTCTAACTTCATAGCAAAATAGAGTGGAAGGTACAGAGCTCACCCATATGTGCCCTGCCCCCATATGTGCATGGCCTCCCCCATTACCAGCACCCCGCCCCAAGCACTGCGTTTGTTATGGCAGTGAGCCCACGCCGACACATCAGTATCACCCATAGATATGTTCTTTTCGTTTGGATTATGGTCTCCTCTCGGCATTGTACAACCCATGGGTTTGGACAAATGTGTAGTGACATGTATGCAGCTTTACTGTATCATGCAGAAATGAGGGGTATTTAATAAGTAGCTTCCAAAATTCGGTTTACAGCGTGTGGAAGTCTCCAAGTACTAGATGACTGTGATGGTTGCGTTGTTCACACGTGTTTCCTTGTACTACATCTGCATGTGGTTCTTCTCTAACTAGGCCACATCTCAGATGGAAGAGCGCCTGAAGGAAATTATCACCAGCTACTCCCCTGATAGCGTTCTCCCCCTGGCCGATGGAGTGCTCAGTTTCACTCACCACCAGATTATTGAACTGGCTCGAGATTGTTTGGATAAATCCCACCAGGGTCTCATCACCTCACGATATTTCCTTGAATTACAACACAAATTAGATAAATTGCTACATGAGGTAAGAACCATGCTCCATATTATGTTTCTGATTTTGTGTGTTAGTGCGCTTTTCCTCTGGGGGAAAATGTTTCTTTAAAGACCATTTGTTTAGAAGTTGTAGCCATGAGATGCTTCAGGGAAGCAAAGAAGAAGAGGAAAAAAAATCAACTGATGCTACTTGCTATAAATTGATTCTGGTCATTATTTATAGTAACAGAAAGTTAATGTAATAACCTTTACAGGAACCTTAGGGCCCAACGATCTATGAGCCTAGGATAAGTGGATTGTGAAGGATTTTGAAGTAGTGATTCTTTTTTTCCTCTTTAACCATAAAGTTATAAATTGCCAGGGAGTATGTGCATTGATGATGCTATCTAGTTCTAATATCTGAAAAAGCTAAATGGAAAATTGCTGGCTTCATCCAGGCTGTGTCCTATTAATTAACCTGAATGTGTTGCTGGGTAGTAAATGGCAACTTATATTTTCATTAGTATCAGTTCTTCTTCTAACAAAATATCCAATTTCCACGACAGATAAACACAGGACCTGTCCAGGTCTAACACTTGGATGTCCAGCTCCTGATAACACCCAGAACGGGAAGGGAGTGTATGTAGTGAAATGAAATTAGTGCATAACATTAAATGGTAAAATTTGGGTTTTTGTGTTTTGAGAGGTTTTGGTTTTAGAGCACATGCACTTGCTTGACGGAGACAGAGACAATAAGAGGGAAAGTGAGAAATCGCCCCCCTTCCAGAGGGAATGGCCATGCTGTAATCCCTTTTCCATCCTCCTCTGGGAATCTTGGGCAGGCATGCATGCACACATGCCCAGCGTGAGTTTTTTTTCAAGCCACAGAGTCTAGGATTTGAACTACAGTCAGCCATATGGGAGTCCAGTGACATAACTGCTATGCCATTTGCTGGTCCCAAATGGTACCATTTTGAAGAGAAGAGGTAGACCAGAGAGCAACTTGGTCAGCCTCTGTGAGACACTTAATCCCACAGTTCTGTCCCAGAATATTACCATAGTATTACTTTCACCCGGTGCCTTTCATTCCTTCATAGGCATTCCCTGAAAGGAGCAGAATTGATACCCAAAGCTTTTTACAATCCCACCACTTAGGTTCATTTTTGTATGACAGATTTGGCAGATTGTTTCATGGCAATTTAAAAAATCATAGGGTTGCAAATATCATATGAGCTGACCATATAATAGATGGGAAGATTGTTGATTTTAGAGAAATTTCTTTTTGGCCAGAAAAGCATATATACTTATGGCATAAAGGTTATTTGGGGATATGAGGAAGAATGTTTTCTCATTTGTCTTCCCCGATAAATAATTTTCTTTAGTCTTTTTTGTAAAAATTAGTACTATATTCAAAATAATGTGTCCTTCTAGATCTTAAGAGTTGATCTCCTTTTAGATGGTGCTCTGGCGTGAGAACTTGCGTGGTCCCCTGAAATACAGTTGTCGCTTCCCAGCTCTGACATCCTATGCCCACAGTCCTCTCTCCCAACCACTTTTCCTATGATCAGTCTTTCACATAACCCAGGCAAGGGTCCCTAAGGTTTGAGCATCTTGTTCTAACTAATGCCTTTTTAAAGTCCTGAGATCCAGGTCACTTCCAGATGTATGTTATCTCCATTTTTTTTTTTTTGCCACTTCAGTATGTTTAGTCAAAGAAAGAAAATAAAATCCATAGGAAGCTCTAACCTACTCTCAAGTCTGGGTCAAGGTATTGTTTTTAATGGCTAACACCTAAAAGACAGACGTAAGATATCCATTAGTGCACCTCTTTGGAGTTGGCTGGTAGCAGCCAGGAAACAATTTCTCTTCTCAGGCTAATCATGTCATTTTATTTGGAGTCAATTTAGTAAAGCTCCTCCCTTTTGCATTTTAATGTTAGTTTATGAACTATTATTTGAGTTGATTATTTGATATAACTTGTATGTTTTATTCTCATGATTGACAATTTTTAGAAGTGAGGAGATGGGATGAACTAATTATTTTTCTGAATTTGATTACAAGTTATATCATTGAAACTATTTTTATAATTTTTAAAATTAAATAGTACTCAAATCCCTCTGGAGAGACTCCCAAAATGTTTTCAGTCTTTTAGTTTTCTTTCTAGCATCTGATTTATAAAACAGTAATTATTATAGTAAGAATAGAATTTAAGTATACAGCCCAAATTGCCAACCAAGAAGATAGACATTTTAAATTTTTTGTTTTCATTTTTATTGCTTTGTCTATCAGGTTCTCTTATTAGTCTGTTTAAGGATAAACTTATAGGGACCAGCAGATGGTGTAATGGTTACATTGCTGGACTCCCATATAACCAACCATGGTTTGAGTCCCAGACCAGGAGCCTTGAAACTCATCCTGGGTGCCTGTGTGTGTGTGTGTGTGTGTGGGTGTGTGTGTGTGTGTGTGTGTGTGTGTGTGTGTGTGTATGTGTGCTCAAAATCCCAAGAGGAGAATGGAGGAGGAGGAGTTGAGGTGTGGCCATCTCCCCTGGGGGGGGGATGATTTCTCATTTTCTCTCTCTCTCTCTCTCTCTCTCTCTCTTTCTCTCCAGTGACCACAAGTGCCTTATAGCAAAACAAACAAAAAACTCTCTCTTAAAAAAGGATAAATTATAAAGAAGACACATAAAACCATAAAACCATGTTTACTAACATTTTAAAAAAACTTTCAAGTTATATTTTTATTGCAAAACCAAAATTTGGAAGAAAATGTAAAGGTGGTTTTAGTGTTTGATAGATATTTATACTTAATATGACTTAGCATTCTTACTGGAAACATATGTATTTATAGTTATTTGTTGATTTCATTCGAGCATATTCTACAATTATTCCCCAATGATCATTTTTCTATATATTTTTTATTTTATATGTTAGCTGTATTGCTTTGACCTATTTATGGTTTTGGTACCTTTGTTTAGAAAATTGTCTTTGATTTGATGGCTTAAATTCAGTAGATATGCTACTTTGAAATAAAATCAATTTTGGCTCATTCTTTTCCATTGGTAGTTGGGGTTGGGGTAGGAGAGCTGGTCCTTTTCATAGTAAAGCACCTTTAAGGGGACCAGCAGATGGCATAATGGCTATGTCGCTGGACTCCCATGTAGTCGACCGTAGTTCGAGTCCCACACGTGGTGGCTTAAACTCAAGCCAGGTACATGCATGTGCATGCCCAAGATCCCAGAGGAGAATGGAAAAGGAATTGCAACTTGGCCATATCCCCTGGGGGGGTGTGATTTCTAGCTTTCTGTCTCTCTGTCTCTCTCTGTCTTTCTGGTGAGCACACCCGCCCTATAGCACAAACCTCTCAAAAAAAAAAAAAAAAGATTATTAGTCAGTTAAATTTCACTGAGTTAAATGCCTAGGTATTATCTGATTAACGTGTAAAATCAAACCCATGTGGAAATGTTAACAAACTAACATTTCAAATCAACATTGCACACTTCTTACATGTGATGATATAACAAATGAATAGCTAATCATATTGCGAAGTATGCTTCATGTGGGTGTTAAATGCCTGGGATAACAAAAGACAGTCCTTCACTCTCTCAGCTTTTTCATACAGCCAGGTTTGTGAAAAATCAAGGTTTGCGATCAGCTGCGCACTCTCCTTATACATGTATTTAATATGTTAGAAAGCCTCCTTCGTTTATAGTTCGCATTAAGATCCCTTACATTTGCTTTCCAACATAGATAATGAATCAGTTTTGCAGTTAAAGTTTAGATAAAAGAGCTAGTTTGTAGATAGACTTAATAGTGTCCATTTATGTAGAGATGTTGCCTGTCCATCAGTCTTTGAAGAATATTTTCTTGGGAACCAGCAGTTAGCGTAATGGCTATGTCGCTGGACTCCCACATAGTCGACCGCGGTTTGCGTCCCGGACCCGGTGGCTTAAAAAACTCACGCAGGGCGCATGTGCGTGCGTGCCCAAGATCCCGAGAGGTGAATGGAGAAGGGATTGCGGTGTGACCATCCCCCCTGGGGGGTGATTTCTCGCTTTCTGTCTCTATGTCTCTCTGTGTCTGTCTGGCGAGCACACGTGCCCTACAGTGAAAATCTCTCCAAAAAAAAAAAAAAGAATATTTTCTTAATCGCTTAATTTTGTAATATTTGCAATGATCTAATTAGCATGCTTTGCAGATTTTCTTTTCCATTTTAGTGGAGCAGCTCCATATCATCATTCTTGCCATTGCTTTTTCATAGGCTCATGATCGTTCAGAAAGTGGAGAACTGGCATTTATTAAACAACTAGTCCGGAAGATCCTAATTGTCATTGCCCGCCCTGCTCGTTTATTGGAGTGCCTGGTAAGTGGCCTCTGGGATGTGACTACATTATTTAGTGTTAACTGCGAGAAAACAGTAACCACTAGAATGCTCCAATTTTATCCCTTTTTAAATATAAGAACTACATGGGAAGAGTCAGGAAGACATACAACTTGTGAATGTTTGTGACAACCCCCATATGTGATTTGTCTTTTCTAATTTTTAAGGAAGAATGCTAGTACTTGTGCTGGATAGTGCTAGTGTGTAAGTGATAGTCATATCACATCTGGTCAAACTTGAAAGATGATTGTGAAATAGTACCCTTGACCTTATCTCAGCATAATTACTTTATGTCACAGCTAATTTACAATGCTTGCTGTGCCTCAGTTTGGTGGAGCTGCCAAGATGCAGAGAGAGGAAAGTCAGAGCTATGATAAGCAGTGACCTGTGGTTATAATTATTACTTGTTTTAAAATGTAGCACATTTGAAATAAAAACTGCTTAGCAACAGTCTTGAAAACACAGTAGGGCCTTATCCAGACCCAAAGGAGAATGTTACCCTGAGATTAGTTTGTTTTATCAGTTGTATTTTTTAGCCAGTGATCATTTCCTTGTTTTAAAATCTTTTTTTCTTAATACAATTTTGATTGAGATTTTAATCAACACTGTGAAAAAATATGAAGCTTTGAATATAAGAGTTCTTTTCAGGGGCTAATTGTATCGTCCCATTAGCCATTAAAGTAATTGTAACACCATGTATGATACAGTTTCTCAGATTTACACACGCATACCCATATACAATCTATATTATAATCATAGGGCTTTGATTTTTGCCTTTATTTTAATCAATATATAATGTTTTGTAGTAGTAAAATTTGCATAGCCCCATAAATAAATACCTACCTGTACATTATGGGACACAGCAGAGGGAAAATCTAAAGGAGAAAGGTACGGAGTAGGGAGACAGGGCCAGGACCCTTGGAATCACAGAATCAAAAGCCCTCTGGAAGGATCAAGGCAAGCAAATACCCAGGATGACTTTGGGGACGGAAACTGGGAAATGCAGGTAGAAGAGAGATTTATTTTTACTGTTTCTCCAGTAGCTTTTGAATTATGCACCACTTACTTGTACTTCCTGCAATCATTTAATTTGGGAGAAAATGCCATTTAGCATTAAATCTTGTTTTTCTGGACAACAGCAGGTATGCTGAGAGCAGATCTTGCCTTAAAACAGGAAATGAGTTTTTAATAGTAATCACTCATAATCAGAAGAGAAAAAGTATAGCCTCTCAAAGATAGAAACAAGTGGAATTAGAGCTTTAGAGTATTAGAGGATGTTTCCGCTGTCTGTCGCCTTATGCCTACAGCTCCCAGGCTTGACCCGTCAGTCATGCAGGTTTATATAAAGGGCACTAAGTGTTTATATTATTTGGCTTTATTCCATTGGCAGCAAGGTTTTGTGTTTTTGTTTTTCCTATGGCCTTTGTAAATTCTTGAGTAGATCTCAGGTGAAATGCTAAGATTCTGAAGTTGGTGGTTTCGGGCATTAATGAAAGTTGAGAAGATTCAAGAGGAGAAAAATCTAGGATATGTAACTGAAAAATCTCAACTGTGATTTAAAATCTGTGTGCATAATTGTTTACAACACAAAAATACGTGGCATCCATCTAGAGTAATTGTGATCCTAGAGATTTTCATTACACACTAGAATAGCAGCCAGCCAAAGAAAACAGCATAACATAGGACAAACATGTTGCCAAAGTTTTACAGAAGACAGAGAAGTAATTGGAAGCTTTAATTTCATAGTCTTTAATTAATCTTTATATTAGGTGAATGTTAATTTATTTTGCAGTTAAGTAATACAAGTGGTCACTTTGAAGTCCCCCCCCCCATACTTGGTTACCTCTGAATTGAGGGGATATCCTGTAAAACCTCTGAGTAAATATATTCTACCTTTATTCTTTGTGTGGCTGGTTGTCCAGTGAGAGAAATGAGTCTTCTAGATGTAATTCTCAGATTTTAAAACTTTGCTAAAAAGACATTTAAAAATCAGACCTGTACATTCTCGATAAGATAGAGATCTTAGGTGGAGCATGGTGCATTCAAAGTTGCATCCCAAGGGAATTGGAAATGATCATTATCTTTGGGTTTTCAAGTGCATAAATGTGTTGGACAAAAAATCTTCAGATATGAAGGTTCATCACCTCTTTTCTGCATGAATAACCCATAGCCATGTATATGCTGCAGTTTTATTGTGAAGGGGATTTATGTAATAAAACCTCAGATGATTTTGGCTCAAAAAAGTATCCATCTGTGTTTGTCTTCTGCTAGGAATTTGATCCTGAAGAATTTTACTACCTACTGGAAGCAGCAGAAGGCCATGCGAAGGAAGGACAGGGTATTAAGACTGACATTCCCAGGTACATCATTAGCCAGCTGGGGCTCAACAAGGACCCTCTGGAAGGTGAGTACCTTGCTTGTGCTGACCTTTTGCTTGTTTACTCACAGTGGTCTCACAGAAGAATTTATTTTTCCTCATGTTGTGGTTCTACCCATTGAAGAGTTGATATTTGGGAACTTGTTGTCATCTGAAGCACATAGTCTTAAATTGACTTCTGAAGAACAAATGCATAGGATCCATTTATTTTTACCTGAGTATGGGTCAGGCCTTGAAATCCTAGCCTAAGTCCGAGAATGCCATAGTGTCACAAAGGGGTTGGATCCCAGTCTTCTCTGAGTAATTTTTTCTCTTGCAAATCTCAGTTGGGCTCTTCTTGAGAACACTTTCCATTTATAAAATGTTGCTAAAGAAATTAATTATCGTTAGCTTAAATTTGACATTTAAATTTAATTTGGAGTAATACAACTGATAGATGACTCATTTCTATTGATTACAGTCTTGAGTATATTTTAGTTTATTTGTCTGAAGAAAGTATGAAATACAGTAAGATACAGATGAGCCAGTAAAAAAAAATAAATGTTTTTTAAAGCTTAGAAAGAATTTAGAGTTGATTCAAATGAAGGGAAAAGAAAGATATTGTATTCAATACAGAAATAGGAAGCACCTTGTTAGTGATTTTTTTTTTCCAAAACTTAATATTGATAAACAACCTCTTCTCCCAACCCTTTCCTGTTCATTATTGGTTGGGATTGTTACTTATAGCAATTAGATTACCTACTGCCTAAAAAGACTCAAAAACGGTCGTTGACTGCTTCATTCCGAATTGCCTTCCTGATTCGTTAGACTGAATTTGCAAGCAGTGTTTATTTTGCTAAATTGTTTGTAATGGTGGTAAAGGTTGGCACAGACTTCTCCCATCTAAATCTGGGGAACCTGCTGCTCTCTGCCCTGCTCTCCTCTGCTCCCCCGGCTTTGTTTGCTCTTATGGCCAGCATATCTTTGCTTCCAGTGAAATGATGCATGCATTACTGGGAGATAATGCCAGATAAATTTATACTGTACAGAAAGCAATACCACAACAGATTCATCACTTATCAGAGACTGGTGGCTGCTTTTCTGAAAAGTTCCCTGGGGAGAGATTTTCCCCCATGGCTTTTAAATTACCATCTTTACCTTTTTGAATCATGAGTCTTCAGAAATGGTTTAAATCAATGAAATAAAAAGGGCAGATGTTTAATGGTATTTAGATGAGTTTTAAAAATCTCTTCAGGCATTACAAAATGATGCCTTAGCTTCCTGCTTCAAAAGCTGACTCTTGGTTCCATTCCATTACTACCCACTGCTTACAAATAATATGTATTTCCCAGATAATAGTTATTTAGCAGAAATTCTATTTAAAACAGAACCATCTTTTAATTTGTTTTTTTTTATGAAAATTATTGGAGTGGGGGAGGCTGTCAAAGTATATTATGGTGACTCTTCACGCTGGTGTAGTTAAGGTTGCATCAGCCCTTGAATTGTAGACCTAGTGAGTTTGCCACCATCTTACCTGACAATAATCTCACTGTTCACGGAACTTGGGTAGGTGAATAATCTGAGGCCCAGTTACATACATTTCTAGAGGCTTTAAAAAATTTATAGTGATCTTTGACAAGTTTGGAGTAATATAAATTTATCGCTGAATATTGTGGTTTTAACTCTTTTCTTTTTCCCTTTTAAATGATAAAGATACATGGAAAGGACCCTCAACAGGGTCTCATCACACAATAGTCCCCTCTCCCTAGCCCTTGGGCTTCTTGGCATCCCGGGTGCCCAGGCATGTGCCCAGCATGTTTACGGACTGACCTAGGGAATCCAAACCCATGGTGTGCATGCGGCATCCAGGACTCTGCAGACTGTTTTCTTTCTTGCTTGGTTTAAGTAGCGATAATGAGCACATGTGCAGGACCATGAGAAAGAGAGAAACCACCCTCCTTAGGGTCCTCTCACTCCACAGTCCCCTTTTGCCAGCCTTCCAGCTCATCAAGATTTTGAGCACATACGCCAAGCTTGCTTTAGGTCGACTGGGCCAGGAATTCAAACCTGCGTTTGGCCATGTGCAATTTCATACCTACTGACTGTATCACAGAGGCTGGGCATGGGTTTAACTCTTGGAACTTCATTTTCTTGATTTAGATCTGAGAATAGTTTTTAATCTCTTTATTAACTAACGATCAGATTGCCACTTCTCCAGGTTATTTAATAAAGGATTACAAACTGTGATTTACGTTTGCTTCCCTTTCTTGTCAACATGTGAACTAACACATGTAAAGCCTATCCTTTAGGGATTAGGAGTGAGGACTCTGGAGCCTGGCTGCCCAGGACTGCACTTTAGAGCCAGCCAGCCCTGCTTGCCCTGTTAAGCCTCTCTGAGTACCGCATGCCGTTGATCTGCCCCTTTGTACCTGGCTTCCAGGAAAATGGGATAGCAGGTCGTATTTATGGGGTTGTTTTGAGGGATAGCCACGTTCATCTCTGTAATTGCTTAACATGGTAATTGCTTGATAAGTAAATGTTAGTTGTCATTACTATTTTATTTAAGCAGTATTTAAATTTTACCCTTTTCCTTGAGAGCCCCTCCAACTGAGTACATTTTAACTTACCTCCAAGTCTGTATCGAAGGTGCCAGTCACCTTGACATCACTGGAGTGACACCAAGAAAAAACAGGCTGCTAAACTCATTATTATGATGGACTTTTTACTATTAGGAAACTGGGAATGTTAAAGTCCATCTCCAGTTACTTCAGAATTTGGAGTTCATAAGTTTTATCTAAAACGAATGGTCCAGGATTGGCCTGTAATGCAGTAGCTAAGCACTGTGTGTATAGCTATAACCCACGTGGCCAGCCATGATTCAGGTCTCAGCCCCTAGTGACTGGCTTATAAAACAAGGCAGGCAGGTGCATGTGTATGCTTGCCCCAAATCCTGATGGGATGGAGAGACAGAGGAAGGACTATTGTGGTGTGACCATGCCCCACTAGGGGATGCTTTCTTTCCCCTACTCCCCTGCCCCACTCACAAGCACATGTACCTTCTAGCAAAACATAAATCGATAAACATAACACTACAGTGTTCTGCTTCATGTATCATGAGCATAAACTGTCCCCAAAAGGATGAATATGTCTAGATGACCATGAATATGTGAAATAAGAGCCCAAGAAATAATTTTAGATGCTGCGATACTGTGAAATATATACCTAATCTTTGTCTCATTTCCTGGGTACAGCTTCTAAACCTTTCTAAATCTCCATAATGACAAACGTCTATATACTAATGCAGTGACTGCTTCTGTATGTGGACTGGTCATCGGAAAGACAAAGGCAGGATCAGAGGGCAGGGATTTTCAGCCCTATACTTCAACCTCTGGGGAGCAGAAAGTGGCTAAAGGTTAAGTTGATCACCAATGGCCAACGATTCAATCGATCATGCCTACATAATGAAGCTTCCATATAAACCCAGAAGGATTGGTTGGGATTGCTTCCAGCTGAACACATGGAGGTTTCTAGCATTCCTGGGGAGCGCCGAGAAGCTCCCGGTCCCTTTTCACATGCCCTCCCTAGTACATCTTTTCATCTGTGTCTTTTGTCATCAGTCTTTCATGATAAACTGATAAATATAAGTAAAACAGTTCCCTGAGTTCTGTGAGTTGGTCTAGTAAATTTATCCTCTAGGGGTGAGGTCATGGGAACCCTGATTTATGGCTGGTCTTGCAGAAGTACAGGTAAAACCGTGAACTTGCCATTGGTACTTGGGGTGGGCACTGATGTCTTGTGGGACTCATCCCTCAAGCTGTGAGATTTGAGGCTACTTCCAGGTAGACAGTGTTGGCACTGAATTGAATTAGAGGACACCCCACCAGCAGAATTGCTTGCTTGGCATGTGGGGGAAAACCTCTTCTGTGTTGATGATTGATGAAAGAATAGAATGAACACTTTGTGTTTTTTTTCCCTATATTTTTAGAGATGCATAAAAACTATGTAACTAAAAACTATAACTTTTTATTATACATGTTTAATTTTGAAAAATTAAAAACAAATAGCAGAAGAAAATACAAATTACCTGTAGTCCTACCACTCAGAGATAATGCCCATAAAAGTTGTGGAGAAAATTTTTATCTTTTTAAAAAACTTTTTAATAAAATATTTCTTAAAAGAAGTATGAAAATGAACAGCAAAATAATTAAGTTTTCTCATATAGTTATTACATAAATTCAAGGATGCATTTCAACATGGGTCGAGCAATTAAAAGAGGGGGCTAGCAGGTGGTGTGGTGGTTAAGGGCACTGGACTCCCACATGGCTGACCATGGTTTGAGTCCCGGACCTGGGGGCTTGCCTTCTCACTTTTCCTCTCTCTTTCCCACTCTCTCTCACTCTGTCCCTCTCTAGTCAAATTGAAATAAATAAATAAAGTTAGATAAAAATAATTCTTTAAAAAAAATGCTTTGGTTGCTTTTGACTAGACCACCAGGGTAGTATTTCAGCTGAGGTCAAGCATGTGACATTCAACCCAGGATTGATGAATTTATATAAAATAGTTGATGATAATAAATAGAAATCAACAGTTAGTGAAGGTTTAGTTTTTGTTACTCAACATGCTTTATCATGTATAGTATTCACAAAAAACTCCAAAAGCCTAGTAAGTTTGATCTGCTCTCACAGGGGAAGGTCACTCAGCCAGCGAGTCTGATAGTGGTGGTAACCCAAATACTGGGATCTCAACTGCCACCACTACTTCTCTGACAAACTGCATATTCTTAGGGTGCTGGTGGGATCTCTCTCAGTGGATGCGAAGGAATGAAGAAGGGAGGCTTACCCCAAATTGAAAATCATTTCCTAGTTGTAGTCTCTGCACCTTTGATGCCTGTCAGAGTCTGAGAAGACATGCCTCTCTTGAATATCTAATGATGAGAATTGTTGACTGACCATGGTGTGGGAGTTGAGATCGTACTGGCTGGAAAGGAGACCTCATTTTCAAGGGTTCTATGTCGAAGTATTCGTAAGAAGGAGATTCTAGTGAAGGGTGTGTAAGTCAATTGCTGGTTCTTGCCATTTGCGATTTAAGATATTCCCATGGGCATATTGGAGTAACAAGTAAATCTTCCTTTCTTTCCCTCTTTTTTTTTTTTTTTTTGAGAGGTTTTTGCTATAGGGCGTGTGCTCTCTCCATACATACAGAGAGAGAGACAGAGAGACAGAAAGCGAGAAATCACCCCCCAGCGGGGATGGCCATGCCTCAATCTCTTCTCCTCTGTTCTTCTCTCGGGATCTTGGGCATGCACGCACACGCGCCCAGCGTGAGTTTTAAGCTACCGGGTCCGGGACGTGACTCTCAGTCGACTACATGGGAGTCCAGCGATATAGCCATTACGTTAACTGCTTGTCCCTTCTTTCCCTTTTTAATATTAGAGAAATTGGGGCCAGCAAATGGCATAGCAGTTACATCTCTTGACTCCCACATGGCTGACCATGGTTCAAGTCCCAGACCTGGTGGCGTAAAACTCAAGCTGGACATGTGTGTGGTGCCAAAGATCCCAGGAGGAGAATGGAGGAAAAGGGATTGTGGTTTGGTCGTCCCCTGGAGGGTGATTTCTTACTGTCTCTTTCTCTCTTATTGGCGAATGTGTGTACCCTGAGGCAAAAGCCTCTTTAAAAAAAATGGAGAGATTATTTTAATTTTGTTTTAGGTTAATACTCCTATCAAATTGCAATAGTTTTCTTAAGTTTCACTTGCTTTTTTTTTTTTTTAACTTTAGAAATGGCTCAGTTGGGAAACTATGATAGTGGGACAGCAGAAACACCGGAAACAGATGAATCAGTGAGTGTAAGTATCTTTCTTGATGAAATATGTTGTCGGCTTTTCTGTTTATTAGCACTGGGAGATTTTTGGCTGTGTTAATTACTTTATTTGTTTAACAAATATTTATTTTGCTTCTATATGCAAGGCATTGTGCCAAGCACTAGGCATACAAATTTAGCCCCTTCCTTCAAAAAGAAACAAAAATTAATAAAAATAAATCATGCATAAAAATATAAATTGTAATCATGAATATGATCTATGAAGAAAAGGGGATCATATTCTATAGGAACATAACTTAAAGAAATTTTCCTTAGACCAGCCAGTTCCAAATGATTTCCCAAAGACATGGCACCAGAACAGAAATCTAAGAAGCTACTAGGATGAGAAGGGGCAGAGAGAACATTCTAGACACAGTGTGCATCTGAGGGCTAAGATCTAAGGACACCTCAGAGACAGGAGAGCTTGTGTGAAAACTGGACACGTACATCCCTGTTCTTCATGCCTGTTGTTGTTCCCCCCACTCCTTTAAGAGCAATAGGGGAGCCAGCAGGTGGCATGGTGGTTCAGGGACTGGGCTCCCACATGGCTGACCACTTTTCAAATCCTGGATCCAGTGACTTAAATCATACCAGGTGCATGTGCATGCGTGCCCAAAATCCCCATAGAAGAATGGATTGTGGCATGGCCATCCCCGCCCAGAGCGTGTGATTTCTTACTTTCACTCTTTCTTTTTCCTTTTCCTATTTATTTATTTACTTACTTATTTGCTTACTTATTTATTTATTTGAGAGACTTTTTGGTATTGGGTGTGTGCACTGCCCCTGAGAGACAGACATAAAAAGAGAAATCACACACTGGGGGGATGGCCATGTCATAATCCCTTCTCCTCCATTCTTCTCTCAGGATTTTGGGCACTCACACACATGCATCTGGAGTGAGTTATAAGCCATCAGGTCCAGGATTCAAACTGTGAGTGACTACATGGGAGTCTAGTGACGTAAACATTACAACATCCACTGGTCCCTTCACTTTCCCTCTTTCTGTCTCGCTCTTTCTCTCTCCTGTGGGCACATGTGCCCTGTGACAAAATCCTGAAAGAAAAAAAGAGCAATGATGGAAGGAGGATGTGGATATGTGGCAGTGGGAGGGGTGGAGAAGGAGATGACCCAGTCAGAATTGGGGCTTGAAAAAGTCACACTGATCCCAGAGAAAGCAGATGGGTGGGGGTGGCAGGCAGAGTGACCACAGGAAGCCACGTAAGAGACTGATGCAGTCGCACAGCTGAGAGGTCCTGAATGCTGGTGCTATTCTCCCCCCCTCCCCTTCAATTATGAATACACAAGAGGAACCAGGATGGAACAGGTAGGGGGTGCCTAGGAATTTAGGGTGAGGCTGTATAGCCTACGTGCTAGAAACCCAGGCCCTCAAATCAGATTACCTGGATTTGAAAACTGGCTCCACCTTTTACTAGCTGTAGGAATCTCTGTGCCTTAGATTCCCCCCAAATAGAAAAAGAATATGAAAGTAAAATAGAAAAGAATATAAAAGATTAAATTAGCTTATCCACATGCAGTGGGTAGGATAGTGTAACATCGTAAGTGCTAAGTGAATGACAAAGTTTAAAGAAGTTTTATTATCCTATCAGTCATAATTTTGAATGTGTTCAAAGTAAAGTTTCTTAAAAATTTCCAAAATGGCTGGTCCTTGGCCGAGGGACCAAGGGGCAAGTATAGGTTGTTGTAATTGAGGAGGCCAAGTAGCCCAGAGGTCAGAGTGTGTAGGATATCTGCGTAGACACCGAAGCCAGCCGGGATGGTGAGAGAAATGGGGCAGAGAGGCAGTGGGAAGCTGGGTTCCCAAGTGTTCCAAGGTGCATGGAATGGCAGGACTGGGAGGTCAGCACGGAGGGGGAGCATGGCCGCCTCAGACACAGTTTCCACCAAAGCGATGGGAAGGGAGTTCTTGACTCCCCAGAGGGCAGCAAAGAGGCTAACATCCTCTCAGTGTGAAAAGAAATGGGGCATGAGAGAAGTTTTTAAGGTTTTTGGTTTCGTTTTGTTTTTAGAAAAGCACTTTGTTTATTCTTGTCCTTTGAGTTAAGCCTTTTAAAGAAATGTCTTTTTAAAAAAACTGACATCTAAATGATGACAAGATTTCTGTATGGATATGAAGAAAGGTAGGCATTGAACACCTGAGTGTTCCACTTCTGGCCTCAGACCCTTTCCTAACAAGAAAGATCACCGCAGCAGTGATGAGAGTGTGCCCTGGTCAGGGACAGAGCGGCCACCTCACCCACCAGCACGCAGTGCAGTCACGTCAGCTCATTCTTTTTGACTGAAAACAAAAGGAAAATTTGGCATTTTAGACTTAACTCTTAAAATGTGAAAAGGTGGGGTTGAGGCCAACCTGAGTAGTTTATAGAGGGAAATTAAAATGGGAATTTTCCTTTTACCTCCTGGAAACGGGGGTTCTTATTGCCACTGAGACAGCGTCACAAGGAGCAGTGGGTCTGTGCTGCCCTGGAGGATTGGTCTTGGGTGCAAGTCCAGCTGCCTGGAGCTCAGGTGCTGCGTGTTAAAGAACGTAACGCAGAGTCACATGTTACCTGTTTTGCTCCTACATCACGTCGTCAGATTCTGAACTATTTTAATTTCCCTATTTTGTTCTGTAGAGCTCTAATGCTTCCCTGAAACTTCGAAGGAAACCTCGGGAAAGTGATTTTGAAACTATTAAATTGATTAGCAATGGAGCTTATGGGTAAGTAATTCAAGAAAAGCTCTCTATTGTATTTTAACATACCTGAGTGGTATATTTATTCTATATATATAATATATATATAGTCTATATATATATAGT